TGGATTGAACTTAGGTCAGCTGGCCTAACTGTAAGTGGCTGTATCTGCCTAGTTATCATGCTAACCCAAAGAATTTCCTTTGGTAAATAGAATTTTAAGGTGGATTTTTTTTTTTGAAGTGCAGTGGTCTAGGTTTAAGGATGAGGGCTGGAGAGATGGCTCAGTGGTTAAGAACTCTTACTGCTCTTATGGAAGGCCTGAGTTCTGTCCCTAGCACCCACACTAGGCAGCTCACAACCTCCTATACCTCTGGACCAGGTTGATCCAATGCCCTTTTCTGGACTTGGTGGACAACTGAGCACACATGCACAACATATATATATATTCAGGGCTTTGGCACGCTGGGTAAACCCCTCTACCAACAGCAGCCTCATTCCTATCCCTTAGATGTCTCTTAATGCAGAACTCTACAGGGAGGAGAGGCTGTCTGCCCAACCTCCAACACCTGCACGTGAGCACACACAGGCCTCTCAGCAGGGGTCAGCAGACCCTGATGAGAACCAGCTTTACTCTCCTGCCTGACCTTTAAGCCAAGTGCATTGGCTATCAGGCCAGTGATACATGTGGTCTGCCCAGCAAGAGTGACCTCAGAACGCTGGCCAACCTAAGGGCACCTCAGGGATGTCTAGCAAGGTCTTGAGACCATTTTCAGATGTCACAGAGGAGCCAACAGGAGGAAGTGCTACTGGCTTCTAGGGGTAGAGGTAACCAAAGACATAAGATGGTCCTGGGGTCAAAGAATGGTCCCATCCCAAATGTCACGAGGTGGGGAGGTATTTTAGTTACCTTTGCATCCTTGTTACCAAATTACCTGAGAACAATTTAAAGGGACAGACTGTCTATTTAAGCTAATCACATCAGAGGTGTCCATCATGTTGGGCAGGGTGTGCTTGAGCAGAAGGACTCACATCACAACAGACAAAATGCAAAGAAAGAGTCTGTGAAGGGGCTAAGGCCAAGTCTAACCCCAAGGACATCCGCTCCTCCATGGCCTACTTCTTCTATCTAGGCCCAGCCTACTACCTCTCACTGTCTCCTAGTCACTCCATCAGATTATAAACCCATCAAGCCATTGATTCACTGATTAGGTGTAAACCCTCAGGATCCAGCGTCTCTGGAAATGCTTTTGTGTAATTTCTCCTGGGAAGATATGAGCAAATGCCCATTTACCCTAGATAGAGCACTGGCAACATACCAAAGAAACTACCAGAGTCTAATTCAGTAGACCAATAAGTTTATTGGGGTTATTTAGAAGACTATATGTGCGGAGATACTTAAATAGGAGCATGGTGACTCAGAGGAGGTTGCAACATTGAAAATCTCACCACAGCATGAGTGACATCTCAGGAAGCAGCATCCCTGAATCTCCTATATGACTTGCATGCAAATTACCTCTTCCCAGCCACTGTTCTGCTTGTATAACTCTGGAGAAGGGCCTTGTGAGTCCTGTAAATTTTAGTATCTTCCTAAGTCTCATGAGTTTCCTTTACTTTCTAAATCTTTAAGGAACTCCTGAAGAAGAAGAAATGTTTCAATTGAGAAAACATAGCTCTATTATAACCACCTCACAGAGACATCCAAAAGTACATTCTACCAAAAATCAGAGACTAAGACATGGTGAGGCCTTGCAGACAGTTACAAGGAGTTGGGTTTTTCGTTGAGCCCAGGGTCTTTGTGACCAGGCATCACCTCTCTCTGGTGCAGAAGCCCTCTTTGTGTCTGACTTTATAAAAGCTTATTGCTCCTCTTTCTGAGCTACAAATGGCTATGTGCTCCCACTTGTGGTGCAGGGCAGGACAGAGGGCAAGAGACTCCTTCTGTGTGGGCAAAGTCAAAGAGACCAAGACAAAATGCCATGGGAAAGGCTTCCTTCCAAGCCTTGCACAAGGCAGGTCCTCTCCTCCCTCCTCTCACTTCCTACTCACCCCCTACCCCACCTTATCCCCTACACACACCCAGAGCTAGAAATGTCAGCAAAGACACAGATGTCTGTTGGTTCCTGGCATCAAACACCAGTCAGGGTGATTCAAAAAGGCAGGAGTCCCATCGTAAAGAGCACCCTGCAGCTAGCCAGGAAGGCCATAATTACTAATTAATGAGGGGATTAGTCTCAGTGACAGAAGCTGGCCCTTGGGGTATGGTGTGATGAAATCTGCTGCAGTCTGCAATGGACAAGACCTGTTTCTACTTTGCTACTCCAAAGGGAGACAGTCCCCCTTGTTGGTCTAATTCTTTGTTGTTGATGGTGTTGGTGGTGGTCCACAAGATTTCAAGACCCAAGAACTCTGGGCCTGGACTGTGGGGATCTGGGGACAGCATGTGTCCTGTAGTAGCTACTTGTCTCATTGTTCTGATAAAACACAACTTAAGGGAGGAAGGGTTTCTCTGGTTTACAGTTTGAGGTACAATCCATTGTGGGAAAGCACGAGGCAGGAACATGAGGATGGTCATGTTATATCCATAGTCAGGAAGCAGGGGGATGAACACGGGTGCTCCACTTGCTCTCTCCTTTCATTCACTTTGGGACCCCAGCCCATGGAATGGTGTCCCCACATTCAAAGCAAGTCTTCCCACCTCTAGTAACCCAACCTAAGCTGTGTCCAAGGCATGCCCAGTGGTCTATCTCCTGGGTGATTCTAGAACCTATCAAGTTGATGGGCAGCATCAGCTATCTCAGGATTCTTTCCAGCCCATCCATCCCCCAGACTCGCACTGTGTGTGGGCCACTCTATGTCCTTTCTGCCCTTGCTGGGTCATCCCTGAAGTGCACACTCAGAAGCCTTGGAGAGGGGGTAACCCGAAGAAGCAGAGAGTGGAATTGGAGAAAATGCAGTCTTCCAAGCAAGTAGGTGTCAACTCCTGGCCAAGGCAGAGCACAGAACCAGGCCAAACCCTGAAAGAAGAGGCTCAGCTCAGCTTCTATACCAGCTGCCATGTCTAGAGATGGTCCCCCACCTGGAAGCTTCCAGGGGCTTTGGGAACAAGGCCAGGAGGCCACACCTGCCCTAGAAGCCCCTCCAGGTTAGAGGGAAAATGTCACTTCCCAAACTCATGAGAACACCAGAGCTTCTTGTCATACATGTACATATGCACATGTGTGTGCACATTTTATTTTTAGCATAGCACTAAAGTTCCATGGAGTATATCACACACTCTAAGTATTCTACAATCGGGTCACATCCCTGGCTCTGGTCAATTATATTTTTTTCTTTTAAAAGAAAAAAAATATACTTTGTTGGTTCCTGGGAGATCCCTGATACCTGAACATAAATTTAGGAGGAGGGTGTGCTCTGGTTACACAATGCCAGTTGTTTATCAACAACAGTATGAAGTTACATAATCCGGTGTGTGACTGTATGTCTTTCCAGCCCAGTCCCCTGGCACAGTGGAGGGGGGAGGAGAGCTGTTTGCTGCTGGGATTTGGCCAACTTAATGCATTTCTTAAGTCCCACTTTAAGGGTACTTGGCACTTATGGGAGTGAGTAGCTCAAGGACCCAGTAGCCTTCTCAAAACATCTCCAAGTTCAAAGGCTTAGACTAAGCGGGGGCATATGACTGGCAGAGAAGGGGTAGTCAAGACAGTGACAAGATGGCAGTCACATGGCTAAGCATACACAGCAAGGGAAGGTCTCAGTCTGTGAGCCTGAGAAGGTACTGCTTGGTTCCTTGGGTTGGGTGTCTGGAGCTGCAGCCCAACACCTCCTGTCTCTCCTGCCCATTCCACCGCTCTAGATACTGCCTGGGAATCACCAGAGGCTGTGTTGATGTTGGTGACTTTCCATGGTGACTTCTGAGGGCCTTGGTGTTGCCATGCAGCTGCCAGGACCAGCTGGTGGGAGTGTCAGCTGTGGGAAGCTGGTAACCCACCAGACAAGGTGCCGAGTGCAAGTGCTGCAGCTGAGGTTCAGGCAGGATCTGAGGCCAGTGAGAGAGGAGGCTTGGAGAGCCCAGGAGGGTGTCCTGGGGACAATGGCTCTGATGCCCACCAGAGAGGCAGAGGAAAGAGAAGCCACCCTTACAGGGCAGGTAGCAAGTGTGGCCCCCTGCAGACTCAATCAGGACAGCAGCTGCTCCTGGAGCCTGACTCCTTCTCCTCTTCTCCCTCCTCCTTTTCCTCCTCTTCCTCTTCTTCTTCCTTCTCCTCTTCCTCCTCCTCCTCCTCCTCCTCCTCCTCCTCCTCCTCCTCCTCTTCCTTTTTCTACTCCTCCTTTTCTCTCCTTCCTCCTGCTCCTCCGGAAGGGAGACTTAAAAACACCTACTGTGTGCAGAGACCCTGCTAGGTCCTGGGGTGAGAGGGCTGAAAGCACTGGCTTCTAGCCACTGCAGGAGATGCATCTGGCCTTGGAGGATCAGGTCAGGGTGCTTTGCAGTTCTTGAGAGAAAACAAAACTCCACCAACCAACTGGGCAGCATTCTCTCCTGGCGGGCACGAGTTCATTAGCTGACATCCACTCTCTCCCCTGTGGAGGAGATTGTCTAAAAGCTCACAGGTGGGAGCTACAGTAGGTGGGAGATGATGGTGGGGGAGGAGGTCTACACAGGTGTGGACACCTGGAGAAACTCAGGAGGGGTCCCAGGTGAGGGCATTGTGATTAATCTGTCACCTCCTTAGAGAGGAGACTGCAAAGTTAGCTCCGGGACCTTATTTTTTAAGGCGTGGTCTGGGTCACTTTCCCTTCGAGTAAGAATCCTTTCCACCCTCAAAATTTAAAAAACAAAACTCTAAACAGGCTCTGACCCCGGATAAAAATAAAACTCGGAATCCTTTCTTCCTGTGTTTAAATTTCTACGGAAAATCTGACCCGCGTGGCCGCCGCCCCTGCGCTTATATCTTTAAGGCGGAGCCGGCGCGCGGCCAAGTTCACGGCGCGCGGGCGCCCTCGGGACGGGCCAGGTGGCGGCAGCGCCCGGGAGGTCGCGAGGGAGGAGGGAGCGGCCACGTCCCGTCCGCGCCAGGCCAGCACCGCTTCTCCGTTGCAGACGCCACCGGGGCCGTGGATGGGGAGCGCGAGGCCACCATGAGGGTCCCCGAGAAGTACTCGACGCTCCCGGCGGAGGACCGCAGCGTCCACATCGTGAACATCTGCGCCATCGAGGACCTGGGCTACCTGCCGTCCGAGGGCACGGTGAGTTCGGGCGCGGCCACGGGCGACCTCTCCACAACGCGCAAGGCTTTTGGGGGGGTTCCCACCCACGCACGTGCGGCCCGGGAACGCGCTGCTGCCGGGACCAAGTGCACGCGACTGACTATACTCTGCGCGTCCTCCCGCTAGCGGAACGCAGCGCCCGGGGTCCCCAGAGTGTCCCTGGGGTCTTTGCAGAGCCCGGCCCAGAGTTTGCACGTCCCTGAGATCCCCCTCAATGCTCTGCCCGGGGTCCCCAGAGTGTTCCTGGGTCTCTGCTGAGCATTGCCAGGGGTCTACAGAGTGTTCTGAGGTCTGTGGTGTCCTCAAAGTCTCCGCAGCACTGGACCTGAGGTTTACAGAGTGTCCCCAAAGTACCCAAAGTGTCCCTGAGATCTTCACAGTACACTGACTGGGGTCCCCAGAATGTACACAGCGCCCAACTCGGGGTTTGTAGTGTCCCCGGGGTCCCAAAATTGTCCCTCAAAGACTTTGCTGTTCCTGGGATCCCTAGAGAGTATCCCAGAGTCTCCACAGTGCCCGGCCGGGGGCGCGGGAGTTCTCAGTCTCCTGAGCATACAGCCCAATCCTGGGTGAGACCCTCCTTTCCAGGTCCTTAGCCGGGAGCAGCAGAGTGGATGGGAGTGGGAGTCAAGGGTAAGGATCAGGTGGCCACCAGGATGCTCGAGACCACTGTGCTGCCACCCGGTGGGGCTCGAGTCCTGAGACTCCACCTGCCTGCAGTGCTTAGGTCTCTAGCCCAGCACAGCTGGCACATGCCACCCAGACCCAACCCAGAAATTGTCTACCTTGATCTGGTCTCTCATACCCTCCCAGCGCCCTGGGAATGGATAGGGGGCAGGGTGGATCCAGTCACCTGGTTGGGGAACCCAGTACAGAGGTCCCCTCTACCATATCATTGTCCCTGGGGCTAGACCCAGCAGATCACAGACATCTCTATACCGGCTGTGTGTGTGTGTGTGTGTGTGTGTGTGTGTGTGTGTGTTGGGAGGGAGAGTCACCCCGATAAATTTGGTTTAAAAAAACAAAATTTCCCAGGGCCTGGGTGGGGGCGGGGCACTCCCAGCAGGGACCAAAGACCAAAGAGCTTTTTTCTCTTCCTGTCCCCCCACCCCTACCCCAAGATCCCTCAAGGTCCCTTTCTAGGCTAGAGGGAACATAGCTGTCCAATGCCTGGGGCTCTAGCTTGGGGCTAGAGTGGAGAGCCCAGCTTGAGGGATTGCCCTGGCCTGTCCTAGCCTGGGGCTGGGAGCCCGAGGGCCTGGGTGAATACACCCAGAGGCCTGATGGGAGATTTGGCTTGGCAGTACAGGCTCAGGCTGTGGACAGACTTAGCAGTCCTGGGGTCTCAACTGAGGAGCAGGTGGGGTTCTACTGGGTGGTACCAGAGTCCTGGGGAGCCTGGGCCAGGAGCAGCTGTTGATAGACAGACACCTTCCTGTCAAGTACAGGATGGAAACAACCTCAGGAGCCCAGGGGGACATTTGAATAGAGCTGTGAGTTGGGCCTTACTGGGCCTTGCTGGCCCCTGATGTCCCCTGGGCACCCAGAGAGGGAGGGCTCTGTCCCTTCTGGAGCTTAAGGAGTTCTAATGGAATGCCCCTCTGTGTCTATGACAGGACCAAAGGCCAGATGCCCAGAGTTGGCCAAGTGTTCTTAGCTTGCTTAACTCAAAACAACGAGGACATGGTGTATGTGTTGGGGGTTAGGGGATGCTGTTAATACAATTTGGGAAACTGAGGCCCAGAGGGACAGGTAACTCCTTTTAAGTCACCCATCAGTTGAAAGACAGCTGAGAGAAACCATAGCAAGTCTGCCCGTGAATGGACGTGAGAGCTGGGGGAGGGCTGGGTAGCATCCATGGGACCCAAAGGCAGGAACATGAGGACTCCAGTTAGAGGCACTGGAGAACAGTGGTTGTCAAGGTAATAAAGAGGTGTTATTGTAAAGGTGGCCCCGTGGGAGGGGACTTGAGTATGAACAAACAGAGTCTGAACAAATGGCCCTGAGCACTGGCATTCCCATCCAGAGACCTATTGCAGGCTCACACCTAGCAGCTACCAGTGCCCCCAAAACCAAAGAGGTCATGGAGTTCTGGATCTCAAAGTCTTCACAGTCCAGAAACACGTGGGCGAGCCCTGAGGAGGGCAGTGGCCCTTCTTTTGCAGACAGCTTTTCCTAGATGCTTATACAGTGTGGCAGGCTAGGAGGGCTGTGGCTCTGGGCCCATGTTCAGGTCATACTTAGGGGTCACACTGCAACTGTAACTCTGAAACCTGAGGTTCTGAGCATACCCATACACTCCTGCCACCACCGTTAGTCATCACAGAGTCACCCAGCAGAGGAAGCCCAGCACACTTGAAAGCCAGAGGGTGTGGGCCACATCTCCCTTCCCTAGAGGAACAGTCTTAGAAAAAAACCCTCAGCCCAGGCTGCAGCTCCCAGACTGTCCTCCTTACCAACTCCATTTCAAGGGAAAGGGGGCAGATCACCCATTGGTTCAGTCAAGAGGTAAGACCGAGAGGAGAGTGGCTGGGAAGTCAGAGGCCAGGTGAACGGGACTTAATTTTCTCTGTTCTGATCTTTGAGTACTTCCATCTTTAACCAAAGTTCTCTAATGCCAGGGATACCCACACCCAGAAATACCTGCTGTGTGGGTGTCAGCCCACATAGGCTGACATAGGGATAGGCTACTTATCTGCCATCAGAGACTTCTGTTTATAGATTCCTGGATAAGCCCAGTGATCGGAAATGGATATACCTTGTGCTTATGAATCAGTTGCGCATGCAAACACGTGTGTGCGAATACACACACACACACACACACACACACACACACACACACACGCCTGCGTGCACACACACACCTGGAATAAAACTGAAGTTTTACATTGATGTTCCCTGGAGTTGGACATGGTGGCTTAAGGTTGCAATCCAAGAGGCAGGAGACTTGCTGAGAGCTTGAGGTCAGCCTGGGCTACAGAGTGAAACCCTACCTCAAAATCCACCAAAAGGCTCTGATGCTCCTCACCAGCCTGGAATCCAAGTCTCCAGACCAGAAGCAAGATTTTGGGTGTCTAATTTTATCTTTCCCATTTTAAAAGAAAGTCCAAGATTTTTAGATTCCTTCGGAAACATCAGTATTGTGTCATAGGCTATTTGAATTCAGCCTATGCTCCAGGAAGCAGAGGTGGATGAAGCACACCTAATGTGTTAGGATTCCAACACATTTAGTGTGTGAGCACAGGGCCCTGCTCATGCCTCCGCTCTGTCCAGCAGCTGGCACCTTCCTTGTTTGTGGTGCTGGGACAGGATCTGCTGTCCATCGTTCCCCCTGAGGGAAGCTGTTTCCAGGAGCATTTCCCCCAAAACACCTGGGAGACAACATCAGCACATTCAACCCCTGTAAGTGTCCTTCCCATTCTCTGAGGCCACAGCACATAGTGGTACCTAGACATAAGCTTCTGTTGTCCATTTGTACATGAACACACACATACACCTACACACACACACACACACACACACACACACATACATATCCCACAAACACCCATTCAGAGATCACTAAGAAACCCTTTACCTTCCATGAAGGTGCATGCCCCTTTTCTTAACCAGAAAAGGAGAACATTTAGAAGTTACACATAAAGCCAAATTCACATCCCTCCTGCTGCATTTTACGCGTAGTGGCCTCTTTCTCCTGCTTTGTCCAGCAAAGGGACATGCAGAGTCACCTAGTGCCTCTGCACCTTGTGTGGGTCTTACCATGCCTTCTTCTGTGTCTCCCACCTTGGAACAGCTTCATAGACCCTGGGGGGTCCCAGGGTAGTGCAGAGAGCAGTAGGCAGGGCGCCCACACTGTCTGTCTAGAAATTGCTACCCACAAACACTGAACAAAGATGGCTTTCCTTACTTTATAAAGCCAATGCCTACATAGACAATAGACAGTTTTCCCAGTGTAACAGGACAAGTTACCAAGGGCCAGGCCCCTAGGGATGGCCACAGAGGTGCTGGTGCCACATCTTGCCACCCACCCCTACTTTGTCAGTTTCAAAATCTGAACCTGACTCCCTCCTGCCTTCTCTAATGGTTCCCTCTGACAGTAAGGTTCTTTTTTTTCCCTGTCCCACCTGCATGTGCATGTATGCGTGTGTGTGTGTGTGTGTGTGTGTGTACGCGCACACACGCGACACACACACAAATACTTTCAAAAGTGCATGTGAATGTAAGTATATGTGCATGTGTGCATTCAAGAGTGCATATGAGTGTAAGTATATATATGTGTGTGTGTGTATGTGTGGTGTATGTGGTATGTGTATGTATGTGTATACATGTATGATGTGTGTGTATGTATGTGTATACATATGTGGTGTGTGTCTGTCTGTGTGTCTGAGGAGTCCCAGAGGTTGGTATTGGGTGACTTCCTCTCTCACTCCCCACTTTACTTTTTGAGATAGAATTTCTCATTGAACCTGGAGCTTGCCAGTTCCACTAGACTGCCTGGCCAGCGACCCTGCCCCTGTTTCCCCAACACTGTGAATACGTGCATGCTGCATCCAGATCTTTCCATGAGTGCTGGGAATCCGAACCCAGGTCCTTACACTTGTTCTTTCTTTTTCTTCATGCACCAAGTGCCTGGTGAGAATGAGCATCGCTGGGGACACACAGTCCAGCCTGTGGCAGAGACTTTATGCTGAGCACACTGAGTCCTAACTGCACTGCCAGGGAAGTCCTATTACATGAGGAAGGGCTTACTGACATGTGTCTCAGGGAAGTGGAGCCGTGTCCTAGGGACAGTCCACCATGGCTGAGCTGGTCTCTGAACACAGCAAGATAAAACACACTTTGCCCCCTGTGCTCTCCCCTAGGACTGGCAGACCCCTGTGGAAAGGCCTAATAGGGCCATGTACACAGGAGGCAATTGCTCAAATTGAATCTGACTCCTGCCTCACCTTGCAGACTCCTTGGTGGCTCCCTGGGATCATTTCCCTGTATGGCTCACAGGAACGCTCTGTCTGTCCTTTTCTCTAAGTCTTAGCTATCCATCTTCTTCAATGGTAGCCATTGTTCTGGGTCTGGGTGCAGGTGTGTCAAGGCAGTCCTTGGTCTAGCCTCAGGGGCTCATGCTGAGGAGAGTTAGAACTTCTTGGAAAGGTGGTCCACAGGAGACTAGCATGACACCTTGGATCCTAGACAAAGAAGCCTGAAAACCAGTTTGAAAAGGTTAAAGAGAGATGAAGAGCAGGAGGGAGGGAGGGAGAGGGGCTGGGCAGAGGGAGAAGGAGACAGGGAGAGAGGAGAGGAAAGAGTGTGCATGGTAGGGGAGAAGGTGGGTAGGAGGGGCAGGCCAGAGGGAAGGCGATGCCCCAGCTTTGAGAATTACCAGGGTCCCTGTCCAGCCTGATAGGATCCCAGGAGTGTTTGGAAATGAGATTGAGACCTCTGAGTCTCTCTGGTGATCAGGATGCCAACGAAGGCAGGTGTGTCCTCAGTATATGGCTATCTTGGCTCAGCATGGTCACACTGACTAGCATGACACAGGGGCTCCTTGTCTTCCAGAGCTCCCTGTTGGGGCCTGGTTCATCTTCCCCTTTAAGGCTCCTCTAGCAGCCAACACCCAGGGACTTTGGACTTCTCTGCCCTTCCTGGGATTCTAAGAAGGACTTGCTTGCCCTTAGCCCCTAGGATGGAGCCTGGCTGACCATGCCCCCCAGGCACCTGGCCCATCCAGAACCCTAATCAACCTGGCTAATCCTGGCAGGAGGCGGCCCTGCTGACCTTCCAACTCCCAGCGTTCCCAGGCTTGGACTTCAGGGCCTGCAAGAAACCACTGAGAGCTCCCTGCCAGCCTCTGCTTACCACACTGCCTGGTGGCTCAGTAACTTTATAGCAGAATGGAGGCACACTCCCAGTAATGTTCATCAGTGTGAAGTCAGAGCCGGAATCCTAAGGTAGTGGGTGAGGATTTGGTACCCAGGGCATCAAGCCGGACACCTGTAGCCTACCTCTTTCCCACATGCCAATCTGTTTCTTCCAGGCTAAGTGGACCTAGCAACAGTGTTCCCTCCATGTGTGGGACACTTAAAAACAGGATGTCTCATTCTTAGAAAGTGTGTCACCAATTCTGTGAAGGGCAAAAATGCCTTGGGTGTGTGGACAGGATCCAGGACTAGGCCTGGCCCCATACCTGCCCAGACATGGGGCCTCTCTCCCTCTACAGAGACATATACTCACCTTACTGGCTGAGAACAGATGTCTATATTCCCATAAACTTAGCCCATTATTGGGCCAGAGTGTCACAGCCCTGGTCTGGGGCTGTGGCTCAGTGGGTAGGCATGCATGAAGTCAAGTTCTAGTTCATGAACCTGAGTTCTAATCCCTGTCCTTCATAAACTAGGCTGAGGTTACACATGCCCCAACTGCAGCAACAGGAAAGCAGAGGCAGGAAAATCTGAAGTTTAAGGTCATCCTTGGCTACATAACAAGTTCCAGGCCAGCCTGGGCTACAGGAGACCTTGTCTCAAAAGAAGAAAATAAAATAAAACAAAGCAAAACAAAGCCCAGCCAGCCTGAGCCCTCCTGGGGCCACACAGATTCGGGGGGTATCTCTGGCCTATAGGCATTCAGATGGTGTCACTCAAAGAGAATAGGGAAGAAACTCCTTAGGGGCACTTTGGGTGAAGTATTCATAGTGTCCAGGGCCCTATGGCTAAATTTATGGGAATATGAACATCTGTTTGCAGCCATTAAGGTGAGTATGTATCTCACGTTAGGAAATCCAAGTCACTATGGAAGAAGTAGGTAGAGTCCTTCCAGTCTCTTACAGCTATAGGTGCTTGGATGGACTACTGGCCATACCGCCTCTGGGAGAGTAGTCCTCAAATAAGAATGCTGAGTTGTAAGATCATGATCCGACCCTCACCCCCCATTCCTGCTCAAGAGCCCCTCTCCCCTCTTTCCATTGCTCTGGACTAGATGCAGCTCCACTCTGCCTGCCTCCCCTATCCCTTGTGACCTTCATAGCCCACTGTGCCTCAGAGGACTGTGTTGTTCTGCTACTTCTGAGGAAATACATGGCTCTTCAGAGTCACCTAGTAATAGGGGACATCCTAAGGTTCTGGATGGCCACACTGGGGGAGTGGCTTCCTGACTGCCGGTGTGTCAGGATCCAGGTCAGATGGGTATTGGTAGAGCTTGAGCCTCTGGCATGGGCAGGAAAAAGCAGGTTAGGGGACAGAGGTGATATGGAGGGAGTGGAGAATCATGTGACTGGGGCTATAGTAACAGGTGTCCAGAGAAGGGGCAGAACCCAGCTGGCTAATACCAGGAAAGACATATCTTCCAATACTATGCAGGGGAAACTGAGGCCAGGGCTGCACCTTGTGTGGAGGAGAGGATTGGATCCCTGCCCAGCTTAGGCTCTTTCAGTATGGGAAGGGTTCCAGGAGGAGGAATCCTAGCTGTGGTGCAGAAGGGGACATGTAGACAGCTGTAGTTGTTGGCCACTGTGTTGGGCCTCATATGGTACCAGGAAGATCTAGCTGATAAAGTCCTCCCCACCGCTTTGCTCAGGACCTAGAGCTGGACAGGGGGAAGGGTGGTGCCTTTGCATGGCTGCTAAACTCTGAGAAAGAAACTGTTGGAATCAGGTGTTCAGGCTGGGCTGAAGCCAGCTCTGGAGACAGCTGGCAATTCCTCAGCCTATGTTCCAGTCTGGATCATGCCTGGGTCTCTGTCCTCATCCCTCCATGCCGGAGCCCAATACAGGGATTGGGTTTCTAAGGATCCAGACTGAGTAAACAAGTGCCTCACACATTTGAGCTCTGATCATCCAATTGGCTGGTGGCCCTGAAGGCATCATCCATCATGCTGCCTGGATGCTGGCTGTCAGAGGTAGACACTGTGCCTGCCGATAACTGAATTCAGTTCTGCCCTGCCTTGGGCTCTGCCCTATGCACATGAACCACCTCCTTTCTGGGGCTTTCACTTCAGGGATTTTATAGCAGATTTTTGCCAGGAGTCAGACAGTACCTTCCCGTCCAAAGATCAGAAGGCCCTGTTGGTGACCAGGCACAACTTGGCATCCTCATGGGAGAAAAAGGCCTCCTTCTAGAGTGTGGACCCCAAACAGGCCATTCATTGCATCTTCTACATATTTCAGTCTATAGGACTAGGTCTGGCTCATAATGGGCATCTATAGGGGTGGCTGTCCCTGGTATGGCACAGTAGTGGTTCTAGATCTCTCAGATACTGAACCTCACAGATGCTCAAGTCTTATATGCCATGGTACAGTAGGGCTGGGAGTGGCTTGCCATACAAGCACGAATGAATACCTGAGCTTGGATTCTCAGCACCTACATTTAAAAGCTAACCATGAGGACATGCTTACAGCCCAGCACTGGGGAGGAAGAGACAAGAGGGATGCTGGGATCACTGGCCAAGCAGCCTAATGGAAGAGATCTGAGTTCATTGGGAGCCCCTCTCTCAAAAAAAACAAGAAAGATGGGCTGGAGAGATGGCTCAGTGGTTAAAAGACCTGTGGACTCTGTGTCCAGCATTTACGTGGAAAATCACAACCATCTATAACCCCAGTTTCAGGGGATCCAGTGCCCTCTTCTGGCTTCTACAGACACTGCATGCACATGGTACACATACATACCTTCAGGCAAGCACTCATACATAAAAAAATAAACCTTAAAAAAAGAAATGAAACCAAGGGGGTCACTTGTTGACTTACAACTTCTGTCCACATGTGCACGTACAGGGACATATGCACACACAGGAAAAGGAAAAATAAGTAATACGCTGGGGTGTTTGCATAGAACCTGTGCACAGGTTAGTGAGGAGGAAGTGGATGCAGGCATGAATAAACATGTTGTATCAGAGATTATATCTGTCTCCAACAAGTGGGACTATGAACCCTGACATGTTTGTTGAGTGACTGAGAGCATGGATGAGTATGGTACCCAGCTTGAAGCACGTTACCAGGGGGCCCCTGGAGAACCGTTCCACACTGAACACATCTCTCTTTCTCTCCCCACAGTTGCTCAACTCTCTGTCCGTGGACCCTGACGCCGAATGCAAGTATGGCCTGTACTTCAGGGATGGCAAACGCAAGGTGGACTACATCTTGGTGTATCATCACAAGAGAGCCTCGGGTAGCAGGACTCTGGCCAGGAGGGGACTACAAAATGACATGGTCCTGGGGACCCGCAGCATCAGGCAGGACCAGCCCCTTCCCGGGAAGGGAAGCCCTGTGGATGTGGGCTCACCAGAAACCCCCATGGATTACCACGAAGATGACAAGCGCTTCAGACGGGAGGAGTACGAGGGCAACCTGTTAGAGGCAGGCCTGGAGCTGGAGCATGACGAGGATGTGAGTGTGGCTTCATGTTGGCTGGGGACGCCAGGTGGACGTGGGCTGGACAGGTCTGTTTGCAGAAGGCGGGGTGGGGGGTAGGTCACCTTTAGCTCTGCTCTTGCGGCCATAGTGGGTTAGAAATGGCTTCTAAACAGTTCTGGGAAGTCTCAAGCCAGACTCCTCCTCCAGCAATCACATCTGCCTGGGGCAGAGTGAGCCAGTGACTGTGACCTTGAGGTCAGACCATTTCCTGCCTCTGCTCAGTGCCCAACATGGGAAGATTTGCTGGGTCAGAGGTGCAGAGTATAGAGCTGTTCTGGGGGTTTCTCCTGGATGTCCTCAGCCTTCTCTGAGCCTCAGTTTCTCAACCTGTGAAGAAGAGATTAGACTGGTCTGTAGAATCTTGGGGTCCCTGCTCTGAAACCCACATCTGTGTAACATTGGGTTCAGGAAGTCGAGAAGTTTTGCTAAGGTTCTGGAAAGAACAAAGGATCTACTGTCTCTTACGACTGCCTGCTACTATGGCAGCCACAGAGAGTGGCTCAAATCAGTGCAGCTTCTAACCTACTCTGCCAATTGGTATGTGCTTCCTGGTTGACATCTTACCTTCTCACTAGACTAGAGTATGTGGGAAAGGCCCCTGCTCTGTAAGTGAAATGGGCAAGTGTAATCCCAGTATTCAGACTAGCAGGAAGATTGAGAGTTCAAATCCAGCCTAGGCTACATAGCAAGAAACTGTTTTAAAATTAAAAGGAGGGGCTGGAGAGACTGTTCAGTTGCTAAGGAGCTTGGCTTGCAAGCTCGAGGACCTGAATTTGGTCCCCAGAACCCATGTAAAAACCCAGGCATGGTGGGCACACCTGTAATCCCAGACCTGAGGATGGATACTACCTGAAGAATGACGGTCGAATTTGTCCTCTGAAGTCCACACACACATGCACACATGTACCTGGTCCAGTGTGACCCAGTTTCGGGGTCAGCTCCCCCTTACAGATCCTCTTTGCTTTTTCCTGTGGCTTTTTCTTTGTTCCTAGGGTGCATAGGGAAGTTGAGGGGTCAGGCAGCAAAGGTTTGAGGCTGGCAAGGATGCAGAGGTCCTTCACTAAGGCTGGCAGCTAGAACCTGGGTGTCACAGATCCTCTGTGACTTTTGTCACTTTGAGCAAGGCTGTGTCAGGCTTTCTTCTGTCCACACAGGCCACCTGGGGCTTTTGAAACACACTGCTGCCACGAAGAGTTTATTGCACAAGTCATTTTATTCCTGGAGGAAGGAGAGGGTCTTTCAAAGGCTGCAGGTCTGCCCAGCTGAGACACCCAGTGCCTGCATTGAACTCCATTAACTGTCCTCCTCTTTCTATCTGTGAGGTTCTTGCTTGGAACAGTGTGAAACTCCCAGGTGTGGGCCCTCTAACATCGGGTGACTCAGACTGACCTGTCAGGCCTCAACCTCTGACCTAGCCTTTCTTAACTGAAGGCCTCAGTTTCCCCATCTGGAGCATGGAGATAGCAACAGCCTTCACTCAGTGCTGGGCATGAAGCACATCGTTGTTGGCTGTTTGCTGTTATGTCCAAGCCAGGCATGAGGGTGCACACCTGAGCTTCGACCTGAGCCCAAGAGATGCTAAGATGGATAGAAGGAAGAAGCTGGGGGCAGCCTGTACTAAAGCAAAACAAATAAATCAAAGAGGAAGAGAGGGAGGGATGGGGGAGGGAAGAAAGAAAGGAGTTTCAGTATGTGACGGCTTCTCCCCTCTTTGCAATGAAAAGCAAACACGGGTTTGCTGACTCTTGTGTAGAAGACCTAGTTTTGTCCCTAAATGACCCCAGTTTCACAGACAATTTGACTCTAGAGCTGAACAAGCCTTTGCAGCCGTTGGTTTGACCCTTTTGAGAAACAAAATATGAGGTGCTGGAGAGATGTCTCAGACGGTCGAGAGGACTGGCTGTTCTTGCACAGGTCCTAGGTTTGGTTTCTAGTATCCACATGGCAGCTCACAACCATCTGTATCTCTGGTTTCAAGGGACCTGACACCCTCTTCTGGCCTTCACAGGCTCCTGCACACACATGATACACAGACACACATGCAGGCAGATATACACATAAAATTTAAGAAAAAAAAACAAACCTAAGAAGTAAAAAATGAGATATGGGACCGGGTGGAGCTCAGCTGTAGAGAACTGGTCTGGAACGCCTGAAAGCTGGACTCAGTCCCCGGCACAAATCGAAAAGGAGCGGGGTGGTGAGACTATGATGGGCACAAGTATAAGAGACAGTCCAAGTTTTATGGCATGTGTGTATATATGTGTATGTATGTATGTGTATGTATGTATGTGCATGTGTGTGTGTGTGTGCATGGGTGTGTATGTGCACATGAGTGTGTGTGCATGTGTGTGTGCATGTGTGTGCATGTGTGTGCATGTGTGTAGACCAGAGGACAGCCTCAAGTGTTGGTCCTGATCTTCCACCTGTTTGAGGCAGAGCCTCTTTGGTGCTCGCCACTGTCCTACATAGCTCAGGCTGTCTTGTGTCTCTGCTCCTGTCTTGCTGTAAGAATGCTAGGACTATAGATTCATGACACTGTGCCCACCTTTACATGTGTTCAGGGGATTTGAACTCAGGTCTTCAAACTCACACACCAAGGACTTTGTGCACTGAGCTATATTCCAGCCACCCTGCTCCCACACTACTTTTGAGAACAGGGTTTCTCTCTGAGCCTGAGCTTGCCATTACAGCTAGACTGGCAAACTAGCAAAGCCCCAGGACCCACAGGTCTCTGCCTGTCGGCGCCAGGGTTACAGGTGCACACCACCACACCCAGTCTCTGTGAACTGAGCCTGAGTCCTTCCAGGTTCCAGTTCAGGCTTTCTAGGCAACAACACTGAGTGGTCTCCCTGTAGAGCCTTGAGGTCATCCCCTGGTCCCAGCAGCCTGTTGGAGGTGACAAGACTTCAGGGTTGGCAGGGCCACAATTAGCAGCTGCTCGCTGTCTTTCTGGGTGGAGCAGAAGTTGGGTCTGGATGGGCTGTTTGGGCATGAGTAGCAGGCAGAGGTATGAGTGGCCTCTGGCTGCTGAGATTAACAGGACCAGCCCAGCAAGGTCAGGCCTGTTTAGGAGTGAAGAGCTAAAGAGCCTTCCGGGGTGCGCTCAGATTACAGGGAGCCTGAGGGCTGGCAGAGTTTGAAACGAGAAAGCCTAGACCAGGATCCCCCAGTGTCTTCTGTGGGTAGGACATTTCCAGATCCTAGTAAGTACCCCAATACTCTATGCTCTCCCATACCCTATACTTGTGACATTGGAGGTGGCCTCTCAACCTGAGTGCCATGGCATCTGACCTTTAATAGTATCCCTGGGCTCTGCTGGGCTGATGGTAACTCTCAAGTCCTAAAAACTAAAACTGTCTGTCCCTGTGATGTGGCTAAACGTGCTTAGGGCCTGAAATGACCACCAGCCAAGGGACCTCTGTTTCCAAGGCTGGATGGGGAGACGAATAATGACCTTGAAGGAGATGAGATGTCCTGTGCATGACACTAGCCTCATGAGCTGGCCACGAGGCAACATTGCAGCGGTCTTCAGCCCAGCTTCCTACAGGCAGCTAAAGAGAGGGTATATACTACACTGCTTGTGGTGTTAACCAAAGTTGGGGTCACAGTCTGTGCCCAGAAAGATAACCACTTTAGATGTGATTACATTTGATAAATCTTTCTCCACCCACTCCCCCCCCCCCCCCCCCCCCCTCTCTCTCTCTCTCTCTCTCTCTCTCTCTCTCTCTCTGTAAGGGAGGTAGATGTCTTTAGCCCTGGCTGTTCTAGAACTGGCTATGTAGAGCAGGCTGGTTTTCAAACTCCTGGAGAGCCTCCTGCCTCTGCCTCCTCTGCCGCCTCTGCCTACTCTCCCGCCTCTGCTGCCTCTGCCACCTCTGCCTCTGCCTCTGCCCTCATGCTGGGATTAAAGGCATTGATGTTAGTACTCTGGGGATGGATTTTTCTGCTTTTTGCTATTAGGTTGGCTGTTTCAAATTGGCTTCTTGAGTACAGGTTGGCAGAATTTGACTGGGAGCAGTGGCCTGGGAGCTCCATGTAGACCAGAGCCTGTCCCTGCTTTCTTTCTCACTGAGGCCAACTTACTGTCCCTATAGCATTGCTAGTGTGCAGAGAACAGCTCTTAATGACCAGGTGACCAGTGAGCTCAGATGGGTGGGTGACTAAGGACAGCAGAAATGGCACTTCTTACATTCTGGAAGCCACAGGTTGGGAATCAGGATGTGGGCAGAGTTGTACTCTGGCCTCTTCTGCTGTAGCCCATATGTCCCCTCCTCGTCTTCGTAGTCTCTCTGTTTAGGGCCCATCCTATCATCCCATTTTGGCATTGTCTCAGCCTGCTTACATCTGCAAAGACCCTCTCTCCAAATCAGGGCCACTCGCAAGTCTCGGGAGTGGCATTGAACAGTTGTTGAGGGAATGTAGCCCACTAAACCCACCTGATGAATAAAGCTCTGCTCTCACCTGGGGACAAGGCAGGGTGGCATGTGGGCTTCAGCGCTTGTGATAGAGGAGCGGGGCTCACATCTGGCACAAGATGGGCTGGCATAGCATAGCCTAGCCTAGCGTAGGAACAGGTCTGCTTTGTTTGGGCTGGCCTGCGTTCCCATGGGGCCACAATGCACCCTGTACACCCACAGGCTTGTGCAAACACAAGCTCTGATTCAGTAGTCCCAGGGTTCTAGACTAGCCCTTGAGCAATTAAGGAAGGTACTTGTCTCCCTAGATGCATCCCCAGAAAAGGCCTCTCAACATCCAGGAATGCCCTTACCCACTGCTCAGTCCCCAGAGATGGCCCCAGTATGACTGTAGAACTCATAGAGTGACAGCCCCCCAGCCAGAAAAATCCAAGATGCCTTAGAGAGAGAGCCAGGTGGGTGGAATGCTTTGCCCCACAGGGGTCTTTCACCACCTGCTGCCCTTGAGGGGTCAGGAAGCCCTAGATGAGCTGCATGGCAAGAGGTCTCATCATGAGG